TCGAGCATCCAGCGACCCGCGTCATCCATGGCGGGAAGCTACCGCACTGCGAGCAGCGCCTCGTATGCAGCAGGCCCCAGCAGCCCGTCGCGCATCCCTGGTCCCTCGCCGCATCTCGCATCCAAGCCCTTTGGCGCCGCACCAGCGCAACCGAGCTACACAGCCAAGGTGGGCGCGCGGCATGCGACCGCCTCCTCGGTTGGGTTGGCAGCGCGCACGGTCAAGGCGCAGCGCGAGAGCTTCCGACCGCGTCCCTCGCTGGTGGCCAAGGTGCCGCGCAGTGCCATCGTGGTGGGTGGGGCGACGCACGCAGGCGAGATCGTCTCGCCCGGTCGAGCGAGCAAGTGGGGTGAGATGGGTCCGCCGCGTTGGCCTGCCGCTGGCCAGCCGGCTCACACGCATCGCGACGTTTCGACCATCTCGGCCAGCAGCAGTATACACACGGACATTACCACCGTCATCCACCCGCAGGCGGGCATGGGCATGCAGATGGGCAAGGCACCCGAGCCCGTCAAGCGCACGCGCCGCGCGCCGTCCATGTCGCTCGAGGCGTGTCTGGCCAACCTGGCGGCGTCGTCGTCGCACGGCAAAGGGCGCATGGGCGACGACGCTCGCGACCTGGGCATCTCGTCCATCCGCAGCGTCTCGTCCAACGACGACATTGCCGGCACAGCAGCAGACGACGGCACGCGCGCAAGGGTGCATGGCTGGAAGGACGGTCTGCGCATCGCCGGTGCCGGTCTCGACGACGTCGACGCCGAAACGCCCACGCTGCCTCGTTCGGGGAGCAGCAATTGGGAGCTCGTCGGTGATCAGGAGCCGGATCACTATGCGCATCAGCATGCACTCGCCGCATGATCGCGCTGCGCCTCGCTTATACCCCCCTCTCGTCCGGACCTTGGAATCTTGCACTGTACACCACCATTTGCTTTCACACTATGCTGCATCTTTCGACTCCATGTGATACCTTGTTTGCAGAGGATGCATGGCGGTTGCTGTGTGTGTGTGTGTGTGCGTGTGGATGTGGGGGAAAATGCGGGGGACACAAAGCCGAACGGGGCTGAGAGAGGCGACCGTGCGCGCGCAACAAATCCGAAACCCGATTTTGGCAGGGTGCGGGGCCTCTTTGCTCGGCTTTCGCGGAGCCACCTGGTTCACCACCTCGCCATCACCTTGCTACATCTCCTCGACCATCCTACGTCTGCTCGCACCTATCGCAACAGGGCACAACAGAATGAGGCGGGTGGTTCGGCTCAGACAGTGCGTGCCCAGCGCGTCCGTTGTGGCATCGGGCGCATCAGCCACATCGCACCAGCACCGCCGTGCGACCACATCCGCACCGGCATCAACATCGCACCAGCGCATCGCGACGCCCAAGGGCAAGGAACGACACTCTCCCTCGCTTGGCACTGACCAGCGTGCACAGTCGAAGAAGCTGCCTCGCATTCCACCGCCAGGATTGCGGTTGCTCAGCAGTGTCCCCGGCGCCGGACCCGCGCGGCTCGGCATGGACTCGC